CTTTCTTATTTTCTTTCTTTGTTTTGTTTACTCATTTATTCGTTCATTCTCTTATTTGCGTTTGTTCTTTCTTTCATTCATTCTCTTATTTTTCTTTCTTCCTTTTTTCTTTCTTTTGTTTTTTTTGTTCTTTCTTTTTTTGTGAGGTAGTTGTTTGAAATGTATACAGTTGAAGTCGGAATTATTAACCCCCCTAAATTATAAGCCCCCCTGTTTATTTTTTCCCCAATTTCTCTTTAACGGAGAAGATTTTTTCAATCATAATAGTTTTAATAACTAATTTCTAATAACTGATTTATTTTATTTTTGTCATGATGACAGTAAATAATATTTTACTAGATATTTTTGAAGACAATTCTATGCAGCTTAAAGTGACATTTAAGTGCTTAACCAGGTTAATTAGGTTAACTAGGCAGGTTAGGATAAAAAAGGGGCTAATAATTTTGTCCTTAAAATGGTTTTTAAAAAATTAAAAACTGCTTTTATTCTAGCCGTAATAAAACATATAAGACTTTCCCCAGAAGAAAGAATATTATCAGACATACTGTGAAAATTTCCTTGCTCTGTTAAGCATCAATTGGGAAATATTTAAAAAAGAAAAGAAATAAAAGGGGGGCTAAAAAATCTGTCTTCAACTGTATAGTTTTGTGTAACTTCATTATTATTGTTTTTAATTTAATTATTTGCTGCTTGTTTTATCATTTTTTTTATTTTAGTATTCATGTCTAAATATCACTGAGATTATTTTTTTTTAAATTTTGTATTTAAAAGAGCCAAAAAAACAACAACACCACGCTCCTCCATATGTAATCTACCCAGCAACTGAGGAAATGGTAGGCGTTATTTGATTCTTCAGCTCGCTCTGCAGCACATTTAGTGTTGTGGACGCCAGCGCAGACGTTTGGCAGCACTTCTGTAATCTCAGCGCTGTTCATCTTTTCAGCAGTGCATTAACAGCACATGAAGTATGACTCAGGTGCACTACAGTCTCACTGCTGGAGGTCCAAACTTCTGCTCGGACACAAACATTTGCCAACTTAAAGGATTTTATCTCCAAAAAATGGTTTGAAAGCTTTAGACGTCCTGCTGAGACGTTTTGTTGAAACAAATATAAGGATTTTTTTTTGCCTATGCAGTGTGTTTTGACATCTCATAACTGTAGTGAAGCAACACAGGCCTCCTGGCAGAGCTGTAATTATTTGTGAATGTTTATATTATAGGATGTCACCTTGACTCGGACTGTTTCCTAGTTGGAATTTAGTACAGGGATATTTCTCAGTAATTATATACATCATATCATATCTTAATTATTTTTAATTTGGTGTTTTTTATTTATTATTATTAATATTATTTGCTTTTTAAATGTTGTTTTGGTTTAATTTGCAGTGTTTTAATTGATCTTTTTTATTTTGTTTGTTTGTAATGTAGTTTATAAATTTAGCTACTTTGGTATTTGTTTTTGTTTGTTCTTTGTTGTGTATTTAGTAGTCTTGTGTTTGTTTTTGTTTGTGGTTTTTCTTAATTGTTTTAATTTAGTTGATCTGTTTTTTTTGAAATTGTAATGATTGTAGCCATGTAGTTTTTTTTTTTCAACTAATTTCCATTTGTTTCATTATTAAGTTTGTTGTTTGCTTTTAACTTTACTGTACATTTGATTTGTTTTTAATTGTTTTAATTTGTTTGATTCTTTTTTTTCAGCTTGAAATTTTGTAAATTTATCTAAGTATTAACAAAAGGTTAATAAAAAAAGCATTTTGGACGTAAGTAAAGGGGTCATGTTCTTTCTAGTTATGAGAAAAACAATCGAGTAATTGTATTCATCATATGTTTTAATTAATGAATAAATTGATTTATTTAATAATTTGTTTGTATGGTTATATATTTGATTTTTTTTTAAGTATTAGTTGTATATACATATATACACACATGCATGTATACAACAGTTCTGTCTGGTTCTCGAATCGTATTAGCTGATAGCCGTGAGATATTAAAGCAATGTCAGCAGTCGTCCAGCCTCTTCACTCTTGTGTATTATTCTGCCCACACTAGGACTAAAGAGGGACTAAACAACTAGTCAGTTTGACAAATATTGCTGCTGTTGGACAACATAATGTATTTTTGAGGCTTTTTAGATGGGAATGTAGTTGTTTATATTGCAAATATGCAGTTTATTTATAAGAATAGTGCCTATTTTAAATAGTTATAATAATAATAAGTCCTTAGGGAAGAAAAACATGGTAATTTTCAAACCACAGCTGAATATATCATTATAGAAAAGGTATGTGACATTCTTAGTCAATCTCTTTTTTTTGTATGTTGTAGTGCTGTATTTATACCATAGTAATCTGGTATTGTTTGCCTTGGCTTTTTTGGGGGTGGGGGGGGGGTGGGGGGGTGGTACTGTTGTGATCTCCCGATTGCAACAGAGAAATACTAGGGAGTCTGTAGACTGATGGCGTTCAGCCTTATAATCTTTGTCAACAAAATCAAAACAATTTTGTCATCACCTTATATAATAGTGTAATTTACATTACATTACATAGTATGCCAAAGATATATATATATATATATATATATATATATATATATATATATATATATATATATATATATATATATATATACACATACACATTATATAGTATGGCATTTTTTTAAATGCTAGCTATAAAGTGACGTTTGTGAAGTAGAAACTGTTTCTGCTTTTTATTTCTTTTTGTTCTTTTTTTTTTACTTTGCAATGATATTTTCTGTATATTGTTTTTGTTTATTTGTTTGCTTACTAAACATTTTTTTCATAATTTAGTAAATTAGGTAATTTTTGTTTGTTTTTTCATATTTATGTTTGTTTACCCTTTTTCTAAATATTTTATTTTTTTATATATCTTGAAATTTTGAGCTATTTAGTTTTTTGTTTCAAAAGATTCTTTGCTTCATAATTATTTATTTAATTTTGTGCTGTACTGTACATTTGTTTGTTTGTATTTTATTTACGTTTTTTTTGTTTTGTTTTTTGTACTTGCATAATGTAAGTAATTGCTTGCACAAACTGTTTCCCTTTTGGAGAAGAGTGCAGGAACATTTTTTAGTAACTATATCCATCTAATCTCTTTTTCAACTGCCAAAATGTTAAGCAAGATTTTTTTTTACTGTGTTAAATCAGTATGAAGATGATTTAATGGAGACCTCCCTGTTTGATATAAGACGAATGGATGTTAGACTTTTTGTCAGGAGTAAGTTTAGTCATAAATGATTTATCGTTGACAGTCGTGGAGATGTTAGTGGGTGGTATAAATATTTTTCATAGCCTGCAAGCTGTAGCAAGAATATTTTGACTTGAATACATTTCAGAAGTGCTTCATTTTCATACTTGTGTCCTAAAAGTGTATATTGAAAAGTTCAAATTCAAGTCACAATATTTCCTGCTTCTCAGATTCTCTGCTGCTCTCCACTTAATGCCAAGAAACATACTTTCTGTAGATATCTATTATTTAGAATGTTGTTTATTAATGAGGTGTTTACTATTTATAATTTATATTTTATCTATAATTTTATATCTATTTTATTATTATATAATATTATATTAAATAAATACATATTTATTACAGTGTTTTTCTTTAATTCTTTATTTTATGTATTTAATTAAAAAATGTCATTCAATTTTATGCAGTCATTTGTTTTGTTTTCTTATTGTTAATTTGTGTAAATTTTTATTTGTGTATATTTTTATTTGTGTTTATATATTTAAATAGTTTTTATCCATTTTGTTTCATTTACCTTTATTTATTTTTATTGATTTTAATATTCATTCTTTTATTTTGATCACTTGATTTCAATTATTTGTGTCTTAATGTTTTTGTTTTTTTCTTTTTGTTTGCGTGTTTTTGTTGCATTTAGTTTTTTTGTTTTGTTTTTTGCTTTAGTTTTTTGATGTTTTATGTTGTATTTTGTTTTTTGTTTTTGTGTTTGCGTTGTTTTTTGAGGTTTTGTGTTGTATGTTTTGTTTTGTTTTTATTTTTTGTTGCGCTTTCGTATTTTTTTTAGGTTTTGTGTTGTATTTTTGTTGTTTTGTATTTTGTGTTTCGTTATTATTTTGTGTTCTTTTTTTTATTGACTTTTGTTTTTAGCTTTGTCTTTTGTATTGTGTGTTTTTGCTTTGTTTTGTGTTTTTTCCTTGCTTAGTTTTTTGTTTGTTGTGTGTTGTGGGCCCATTCTTTTATTTTGATAACTTGATTTCAATTATTTGTGTCTTAATGTTTTTGTGTTTTTGTTTTTTTGTGTGTTTGCTTTGTTTTTTTGTTGTTTTTTTAGGTTTTTTGTTTGTTTTGTTTTGTATTTAGTTTTTTTGTTCTGTTTTTGCTTTGTTTTGTTTCTTTTAGGTTTTGTGTTGTAATTTTGTTATGCTATGTATTCGTTATTGTTTTGTGTTCTGTTTTTATTGCATTTAGTTTTTTTGTGTTGTGTGTTTTCCTTTGTTTTGTGTTGGGTTTTTTGTTTTGTTTTGTTTGTTGTGTTTTTTTGTTGTTGTTTTGTTTGTTTTTTTTGTTTTTGTTGTGTGTTGTGGTGTTTTGTATTTTTTTGTTTGTTGTTTAGTTTTTTCTGTTGTTTGTTATGTTTTGTAGTTTTGTCTGTTATTGCATTTTGTTTTTGTTGCTTTTTTTGTATGTTTTTAGTTTTGTATTTTGTGTTTAGTTTTTAGTTTTTTGCTTTTTTGCTTTTCTTTTTTATTTGTTGTGTTGTTTTGTTTAGTTTTTGTTGTTTGTTGTAGTGCTTTTTATAGTTGTGTTTTTTTTTTTTTTTTTTTTTTGCTTTTGTTGTTTTTGATGTGTTTGTTTGTGTGTTTTGGTGTTTTTTGTTTTGTCTCTTTTGCGGTTTTGTTGTTTTTTTTATTTTGTTTTTATTTCACCTGTAAATATACAAAAAATGTCATGATACTAAATGAAATTTCATTTGAACCAAACCATCACCTTTTTTTCCCCTGTGTTTGTCTCTGCTTACAGCTCATGATCGCAGTGAAACGGTACGGGTCACACTATGCCAGGCTCGTCCCGGCGGCTCAGTGGACCCAGTGTCCGAGGAGTGTTTCCAGTTTGTCCAGGACCTGGCTCTGGACATGGCCCAGTTCCTGGTAAATGCGGCGGGGAAAACAGAAGGAGCGCTGCTGCTGGACGAGTGTCAGATCCCACTGAAAGAGTGCGAGCGGCTGGACGATACTCTTGCTCTGGCTCTCCGGCATCTGCCTTTGCCTGCTGGATGGAGCGTTTTGGGCACAGATTTGGACACGGGCACTTGCACAGGCTCGGGCATCGGTGAGTTTGTTGTTTTTGAGGTTTTGCGCAATGGATTTTAGACATTGGTTGAAATGTGTGTTAGAGTAGGAAAGGAAATAGTTCTTCATTCTTATGGTTTTACTTGTAGTTGTTGGTTTTGAGACGGCATTTTAAATTTAAAAATGTGGTTAGTTGTAGGCGGCATTATACATTGGCATAGGGATGAGCTGAAAGGATAATATTTGGTGTTTTTGGCAATGCTTTCCTGGTCTAAATGCATTTTTTTTTATTCTTATCAAGAATATTTGTATACTACTACTACTAATTCTATTAATACTACTACTAATAATAAAATTGCTAAGTGTAAATTTAAATTAGTCTTAAATTGTGAAATATTGAATAAAAAATACATTAAAAACAAATATAATATTAATAATAATAATAATATTAATATTACAGAACCCTATGGCCTATATGACTCTGTATGAGACTAATCAAATTTGATTTGTTAAATTACTTAATAACTTCATACACCATGCATTTTAGCTATACACAGTATCAAACAGAAGAACTTTGAAGTTTTTATCTTGTGTCATTGTTTTATTGTGCCGCTGGCTGCCACCCAGACAGGAACTCGAAGGGGAACTGAAAATAAACATTCGGCAGTTGATTATGATAATCAACCTGAACAAAGCCAAACAAACTATGGAAACAAATGCTTAAAACGGTTGCCTGTTCCCTGATTGACCATAGTGGAAGTTGATGTGCGTGGCGGTGATCCCCAAGGGAGAAATATGAGATTCTGTATGTGAAGTGTGGCCGGATCCAAACAATTGCGCGGCGAGGAATCATTCATCAGGGCAGCTGACGCAACAACAGAATCCCGGCTGTTGTTGGACTCCCAGCTTGTCCTCTAAATTGGGCACAATGTGGGTCCGTGTAGGAGGGTGTGGTGAGACCTGGGCCGTAGGAAGCGGGAGATAAGAGCTAACAAAGGCTAAACAGGCTACGGTGACGTCATAATAAGCACAGGCTTATCTCTTATGGACAACCTTGGTCTTAAATGACTTTTGCAGCAAAGCATCGCAGAGCTCCGTTATCCATTCACGTCGAGCTCTGCTCACTAGGCAGAATGAAAGACAATAGTCTGTTTTATCTGGGACCTGAACACATGTTGCTCATGTTTGTTTTTTTGTATTTCCATTAGATTCGCTTCAAGTTGCAACCAAGTATAATGAAGCATTCACTTTATAGCAGAGTTGTGCTGCATATTTGTAGACTGGTAAGCTCAAAATAGGGGAAAAAATGAAATTTATTTAACATATAAGTTGACAATGTGACTGGGGTCTTTTGAACAGTTAAGAGCTTTCCACTCCAGACCAGTAGATGGCAGAAACGATTTAACATGGATTTAACATTTTTGCACTAGATTTTCATTTTAACTGATGATAAACATTAAACATGGAGTTTCATTCAAAAGAGCTTGCACTTATCTCATCAAAGGGATTCATCTCTGGAGTGACAGTTTTGAAAGGATATTGTTTCAATAATGGGGACTTTAATGTAGTTTTAAAGAGAGCCTGATATGAGAAATTAATACATGAAGAGGGGGAACAGACCGAATCTGCAGATATTATTTGCTATTTATGACTTTTTTTTTTAAGGTTTAGAATGCAGTTAGATTCATTTGTTTTGTAAACAAAGCAAATCTCTTTTATAATATCTACTGAAAGACGGAAAATATTACTTTACGAACTGAAGTCGTTTAAATGTAACCATTATTCAATAATATTGATGAAATTCATATAAAAATGGAATAAATATTTGCACGCATGTACAAAAGTAAATAAATAGACATAATGACGTACAAAAATCTGTGCTAAACCTGCAGATTCCATGTGAGCCTAACAAGAAGTAATTGTACTATTGAAGTTACTACATGCTTTGAATAATATAAAATACTTTATATTTTTACCAAGCTCTTAAAATGGCTTCTCTGGGCATCACATGGGCCAGCACCATAGATATATACCCTAGATATCGCATAGGGACCCTGAGCATACGTCAATAGCGCCGCCACATTGGTACAGTGCTCCCTAGACAAATGTCATTCAACCGCACTAGACAAGACCGTGTTATTACGTGAAGATGCGGGACTTTAGTGCTGTCTACGGGTGTAGTAACAAGCAAACAAAGAAAACAAAGCACAAAGGCAGAACATTTCACAGGTAAGAGTTTTTTACGTTTTTTTATGTTCTGAACTTTTGTGCTAAACAGTAGCGTTATTGATGATAATGCAGTCACTTACTGCATTCACTATAAGTCAAAGTAGCTCCAACTCGCACTAAATACTCAGCTTATGCTGGTTTTGTTGAATAAAATCAGCAAACAATGCAAAATAAATATGACAACGAGATGCTGCAGTGCCAGAAACTTGTATTATTGTCGGCTAGTGGACGAGTCGTTCATAACGGAGATTCATTCACAAACGAGTCGCTCCCTCCATCAGTATGAGAAGTGAAAGCAGGAGAGGAGCTGTGTTTCAGGACACGGATTAGATGAAATTTAACAGGGAGGGTGAATAGTACATTTCCATACACACAAACACAAGCTTTTAGTCAGGAATGCCCGTGCGATCACTGATCCATCCAACGTAGAAAAGTGATGTGAAACGATAATTTTCGTAATAAAAATAAATAAATAAAATTGCATACTAACATCCAGGAAAACTCCCAATCATAGATATATGTGTATATGTGTATATCTCTGGCTTTGGATGGCCACAGTCCTCCACTGTACCTTGGTCCCGCATTCATTTCAATGGAGCGCTACCCTGTAGTAAAATGGCGGCTCTATTGACGCATTCCTTCCAATAGACAATAACAGGGTAGGCGACATCTAATGTATATATCTATGGGCTAGCACAATTGTGAACCACTGCCTCTAAAGCAGCATTTTGACAAATAGTTACATGATTTTACAATAAGCTCCACCCACTTACATTTTAGCCATTTAACTGTTTTAAATACTCCCACTACCACTTATTGTACAGGTCTTTGCACAACACCAAATGAGTACTGCAAAAAAAAACTTGGTGGTGTCTATGCTTTGTAATGGAACACATTTGCCTTAGCTACTTATCTCCGTTATTTACAACTTTTCTGGAGTGTGGAGTGGTCAGTTTGCTTGGTAGCTCACTTTGTATAATCTTGTATTTGTATATTGTGTTACATTAGAATTGAACGTCGATTATGGGGGAAAAATCTCATGCCAAAATTCTGAATTCTCCGATCATTTTCTTATCCTTCACTTCTTCCAAAACTGTTAGATTTTTTTTTTACTAACTATGAAAGAAGAAGAGAAACATTAAAGCTGAAGAATCTTGGAGTCTGGTAGCAATTGACCAACTTAGTAATTTTATTCATAATGGTGGCCAACATTTTCCAGCATTCTTTAAAATATTGATTCTGTGTTACACAGAAAAAAAGAAAACAAAAAAAGTTTTGAACCACTTAGTGATTTTATATTGGTATGTACATCTTTTCTGAAAAGGACAAATTCCTAGCACTGACCTCTCTGCGGAGGGAGCGGGCGAGCTGTGTAATGATTCCTCAAGCTCTGGCATTTGTTGCAGCTGGCGCTGGCCACCTGGACCAGCCCTGAAACCAGAGCTACCCACGGGCATCTCGCCCAGAACATCAGTGGGCATCTACTGCCAGCAGTCTTCCATAAGTGAAACTAGGCACATTATACATAAAAAAGACCGTTTCCACTGCGTAAGATGCCAAGTATAGATTTAATAAGAATCAGACACAATATTAGATCATATTTATGGAAAATTAGATGCTTGATTCTCCCTTGAAGGGATGGTTCAACCAGAATTCCAAATTCTGGCATTCATTTTCTTGTTCCGAAATCATGATCCTTGCTTTTTTTTTTTTTTTTTGCTTCTTCAATCTACACTGTATAAAATGATGGGTTCCACTGTGTGCAAATTTTACATTGACAGTCGGAGGGGTCAACTATATCAACTTTATGTTAGTTTGTGTAACACATGCTTCAGTAAATCAAGTTTATGTATTTATTTAAATGATATCTTATTTATTAAATAGAATGTATTTAAATGTTTAGTTTTGTGGGATAGGCTGTTTAGTTTATTCTAACCTGATTAGCTATTTCGGCTTACTTTAGGTCAAACTATGCATCTAATTTGACTATTTTTAGGCTATATTGGGAAACAAACACCTGTTTCATGAAAAATCAGTCTTGTGAACTTTTACGGTGTCAGTCCGTGCTCTAAATCTGCCGGTTTCTGACTGTTGAATGACTTTTTTTCACATAGATGGATTGGCGTGATTATGCATTTACAATGGTATCAACCGGTTAAAATCAGGGATCACCAATCCCGGTTCCGGAAGGCCGGTGTGCTTGCAGGGTTTAGCTCCAACTTGCTGCAACACACCTGTCTGGATGTTTCAAATATACCTAGTAAGTCCTTGATTGGCTTGTTCAGGTGTGTTTGATTGGGGTTGGAGCTAAAATCTGCAGGACACCGGCCCTCCAGGAACAAGTTTGGTGACCACTGGGTTAAATGGATATCTATTATTTTAATTATTAACATTGTTAACGACAATACAGATCAGAGTGAACACTTTCTCAGATGCATATGGACACAGTATAAATATAAAATGTAAAAATATATATAATAATATATATTAAATATTAAAAACAAGCAGGAAAAACTTTTTTTAAGTGTACCAGTTTCTTGGAAAGATGGTAGTTTGCACTTTTTTTTATCCATGTGATTAAAATCTGGCTCAATAGAAAAACCACATGAGCGTTTAGTGTTTCATTGCATGTAAAACATATTAATATGAAAATGTTTACGTTTTATAATGTTTGTTTCACGTAAGTGTCTTATACATGTTTTGTGTTTCTCATGTGTCTTTCACTTTTTTTTCATGTGTTTCATCTGTGTTTTATTTTTCCTTGTGTTTAAAATGTGATTTTAACATGTGATAGCACAATTGTGATGCTCATCTTTTTAAGAGCCTTGCGACCAAAACAACTTTGTACAACATTGACTTTTATTGCATGGACAAAACATTCACATACACAAAAACTGAGTTCCACACAATTCCTTCATGTTGTCCCAACACATATCGATTAATTTAACATGATTGATTTTCAAATTCAAGTAAATTGAACATAAAACAATGAAGTTGTCCCCCCCAAAAAACTCAAGAATTGTGTTGATTCAGTTAATTATGAATAAGTAATTTAAACAAGCAGCAGTCCTATTTTCTTCGAAAGATGGTAATTTGCACTTTTTTTCTCAATATGATTAAAGTCAGGCTTAATCGATAAACCACACAAGCATAAATGTAAAAAAATTTCATTTGAAAATTACGTTTTACCATGCGTCTTTTACATGTTTTGTGTGTTTCATGTGTCTTTCATGTTTCTTTCATGTGTTACGTTTATTATCCCCTGTGTGATTTTAACATAATTTTGCACTTAGGTGATGCTCATTTTTATTAGCCTATAGTGACCAAATCAACTTCGTACACCATTGAATTTCATTGCGTGGACAAAACCTACTATGCGTTAAACAAATGCTGGGTTCCACACAATTCCTTCATGTTGTCCCAACACATATTAATTAAGTTAACATGATTGATTTGACACATTTAAGTGGTTTGAACTTAAAATAATTAAGTTGTCTCAAATAAAAACTACTTGTGTTGATTCAGCTGATTTTAAATAAGTAGTTTAAACAAGCAGCAAAAATAATTTAAAGCATTGTATTCCTGTGTTTTCTGAAGAACAAATGAAGACAACCATCCATAATGAAATAACATAAGAATGAATACATTTCCATAAGTCTTTATAAACTTGTGAGTACCAAAATAAATATTGTTTATATTAGTAAAGAGTGTTTTCAAGATACATCCTTGGAAATCAAGTTAATGATGACAAAATGATCTTGAAAATTAAAACTCCTCTTATTGCATTTCATTTTCTGAAAGCCGGTACACAGATATAATCCTACAGCTGAATAGAAACACCATGGTAACAACAGTGTTTTGACACAATATTACCATGGCTCTAGGATACAAGTTACTTGACACCAGTATTTTCAATATAGTGTCATGTCAACTCTTGTGGCTCCAATCAGACAGCGTAGTGATCCTGATCTGCTGTTCTTTCCAGTGTGCCAGATTACACCACAGCTTCTTTTTTTTTTGCCCAGGGCTTCAAATTGGCTGTCGGATCCTCAGTGGGCCGATTAAACGAGGCCAGTCTCATTCTCAGCCTCTCATTAACCAGCAAGAACAATCCCTTCTCTGTCCGCGCCACTTTTACAGAGAGCCTCATTCAAGCAGACTGAACTTTCTAAAACAGCCCTCCGTAATCTGTCTTTATGATAAAACGCCTTCGAATGTGTTCACTTCTTTCACTCGTTGCCTGAATTATTCGTTTCTTTTTCTGTCCTCGTTGTAAATGATCGATTGAAATGATGTTTGTCAAGAATATATATTGACTGGGCTGAGGGAATTGAGGGGGCGGGTCTTGTACTTTGACGGTTCTCATTGGTTGTGAAGTTTTAAGTAGGCGGGGTTATCGCTTTACCCCTATGCAACAGTGAGTGTGAAGCAACTTTATCAGAGTTTAGCATTAGATAATAGTGTTGTTTAAAGGGCCAGGACACAACTAACCAGGGTGTTTTTACTCTCCAGCAGAGCCTGGACCACACGATACACTTTTGCACTTCGCTGCGAAGCGCGGACTACGCAAGGTTGCACTCTTTCTGCTCCAGCAACCAGGGGGAAGAGAGGCTCTCCGGCTTCCCAACAAACAGGGTCGCACACCGGCCAAGGTCGCCCAGAAGAGGGGACACTCTCAGCTCCACAAACTGCTCACGGAGTAAGTGCGCAAAGCTTGATTCTTATATTAAATAACTGATATTTTGTATTGGATTTTGACCTTTTCGACTCCAAAGGCCTCTCATTAGGAAAGATGATGTTTCTGATTTGTCTGCAGTGATGGCAAATCTGCTTTTTTTTTTTGGTTAATCACAGAAGCAGACTGCTAATATTACTCAAACAAATAGTTATTAAAGTAATTAAGTAGTTATATAATTGATTAAGTACTTATTAAAGTAATAGAAGTAGTTATTAAAATAATTTAGTAGTAAAATGGTTCAACGCAAAGCAAAACGTCATCAAATGAAGTCTTGTAGATTTATTTGCATTAGTTTTTGTTGAATTGATTTTCAGTCGGTTGGTTTGATTGTTCAGTTTGTATATGCTACATGTTACATGAATAAATAGTATTAAATTAATTTGAATAAATACTTTAACAATGTAAAAATAAACTTTATCAAATGAAGTCTATAAGATTCATTGACATTACCTTTCTGTTTAGATTATTTAACTTGTATATGATACTATATTTGATGTGATATCTGTGAATATGGTTTAATTTTTTAATCAGTGTATTTTTATACTTGTTTTAATTTACAGAAATGGTGACAATATATAAATATAGGGTATCTAGATACAATATATAAATACAGCCAAAATAAATACAGGGTTTAATAAAATAACAAATAATAAATAAATAAGTTTTTAATAAATTAAAGTTTGCCAATATTACAAGAATATATATATATATATATATATTAAAGTCATTTAATAATAATATGTTGACAATGTAAAAATGAACTTAATTGAATGATGTCAAAGTTTTATTAACATTACTTTTCTGTTTAAATCAGGGGCGTGCAAACTCGGTCCTGGAGGGCAGGTGTCCTGCATAGTTTAGTTCCAACTTCCTTCAACACAAGCTGCCTGGAAGTTTCTAGTATACTAAGAGCTTGAGTAGCTGATTCAGGTGTGTCTAATTGGGGTTGGAACTAAACTTTGCAGGACACTGGCACTCCAGGACTGGGTTTACACACCCCTGGTTTGAATGATATATTTGATAGTGTCTAATGATTATACATTAATCAATGTATTTATTTTTTTGTACTTGTTTCAGTTACCGAAACAGTGACAAATGAGTATAAAAATAATTTTAATAATAAAATAATTGAACTTGGTAAAACTAATTATATATTATTCAAATTAATTGATACGACTTTTTATTTATTTATTTTTTTTTACATGTTTTGGCTAATTACAGAATTAGACTGCCAATATTACATGAATATAATGTATTCAATTAATTTGAATATTAAATACTTTAACAATGTAAAAATAAACTTTATCAAATGAAGTCTAAGATTAACCTACATTACCTTTGTTTAGATTATTCAATTTATATATGAGAATTAATTTGACATTTATAAATATATTGCTTAATTCATCAGTCTGTGTATTTTTTTACGTTATTAATTTACAGAAACAACCACAATGTTAAGAAATACATTGTATAATAAAAGTATATAATAACTAAGTTTAATAATTCAATAATTTCACTTGGTGAAACTAATTGTATATTATAAAAATTGATTTATACAACTTTAATTTGTTTTTGGTATACAATATAGGTCTTGACAAGATTCACCCATTTTTCAACAGTATGATTTTAATCATTTAAAATGCCACATCAGTTCAGTTAAATCACTTATTTTTGTCTATTTTTTTTTTTTAGAATTGCCGCACAGAATAATTATGTTGTTTAGATTTTACATAAATATGACTGAAAGTGGAACATTATTTCACTACTTTTTAGATATTTTTATATTTCTATTTAAACATCTGTATTTAATTCTCACCAAAGTTATTTGAAACATTTATTTGCACGGAATTGCAAACAGCAGGTTTTATCAAACAGAACATGGTGCTTTAGTGGACGATGTGACCTTTGAAATGCCTTAAACAAATACCGCTTTATCTTATTTGTCATTCTCAAATGTAAACGTTAAGTCACATTTATAAGAGTGTTGTTTGTAAGTTGCAATAATACTTTCTTTAAAAAAAATTGCCTCACACTTACCAATGTCCACCATTGGTCAGTCAAACAGATTCATTAATTCATTGTTTTAGGCTGGTTTGGATTCAGAAACAGTCAATTCATGTTAGACAGGATTTGATAGATTTACAGTATAAGTGCAATGGCTTTATCATGAGAATGAAGGCGAGATTTAGTGTTGTGTTCTGAAGAAAGGAGGATGTTGAAATGTGGACAAGATAAGAAGGAAGCACAAGGACAGGCCATGTGGCTCTGAGCTCTCTGTAAACAGTCAAAGCCACTTAAGCTTTTTCAGTCTTTTTAAAGCAAACCTATGAAATCTACAACAGAAACCTGTTTTGATCATGTTTGTGAAGTGGCATTACCTGTGTGTGTTTGAGTAAGGGAGACGTTTACCTTTATCTGCTCTCGCTTCACAGTCTGTGGCTAGCAAACCTGCATGGGACTGCTTCCATATGTTCCCATACTTGACTATTCTTAAAACAGGGGCAGACTGTGCTCCTCAGGGTTAAAAAACTAAACAAATCTCCCCTTCTGAACTCTGGTCATAAATTCACGAATGCTGGGGGAGCTATACTTGATGTACACTTGGTGTACTCCTGTGACCTCACATCAATTAAAATTCTGCATGAGCACTGTTATGATCATTTATCATTTTTTTAAAGTTCATTTGAAATAACAAAATATGGGACTAAAAAAAAAAGATACAAGTTCACAATTCATGTTCAATTTTAATTATTCTGTAGTGTATTCGATTATAATTTTGATTCAGTTATTTCCTGTTGAACTTTAGATTTAGTTTAATTTAAAGTTAGTGAAATCAAATGTTTCTGCATGTTGTTTTTTTATTACTTTATTTATTTAAAGGTGCAGTGGGTGATTGTCTTCAGAAACATTTTTTGTTTTGCTGGTTGAAAGTCTCTTTACATTCCACTAGGCATGGGACGATAACAGATTTCAACGTATACCGCGGTTAGGAAAAGTTTTTAAAGGTTTTAAAACCGCCAACATTTCTGTAATACCATTCCCAAGATATGTGTAAGATGTTTTTTTGTGTAAAAAAAAATTATATATATATATATATATATATATATATATATATATAATTTTAGGACAACATTATCTCCAGTAGTAAAGATCTCCGAAGATGTTGTTTTAAATTGTAAATAATTTTTTTTAAACTAATAAAGAGAGCAGAAGTCAGTGATTCATTTGAATTATTTGGCCTGACATGTTTACATTATTTGGGCTGGTAATTCCCATAATTCTGATAAGTAGCACAAACTCTCTGTCAGCAAATGTAGATTTGTACATCTGTGCATCTCTGTTCATGCAGACAGATTTGCCATTTGCGCATGAACTGTACGTACACGAGAGAGTGACAGTGGTAAAAACAAATGCTGAATCAAAACTTTTTAAAATCCTGAACCATTGCCCCTTTCACACATAAATTGCCAGCAATTTTCCAGAAAGTTCTGTATGTGTGAGCGGGCCCTTTTTAAAAATACCTGTAAATTTGTTCTGCCAATTTTTCAGAAAGAGAAGTTGTAACATTACCGGTATTTTGCTGGAATGCTGCGCTTTGTAAACACAGAAGGAAAATTGCCGAAAAGATGCACGTGAAGCTGGTTTATTATTCACATTCACATATATTCACCTGTGACGCGCTCCCTATATTGTTTACCATGCTACTTGCAATGTTTGGTCTGAACGAGCATGTAAGTATGGCTTAGTAATAAGTGTAATTCCTGCACCCCCTGGCCAAGCACAAAGCATAAAATGTCACTTTGGGACAAAGCGTCTGAGAGAGTGAGACCAGCGATCCTTGCATGCATGAAATATTGCACATTGAAAAGTTTTGCCTGCTACACAACTGAAAACGTGCTAGATATAATACAGTTTTTCGCTGGGAAGTGTGATATTATAAAGTACTATAAACTTTTCTAACTGGCGAATGACATGATTTATTGGGTTGTCTGCTGTCATGTTTAATGTGCGCGTTTCTGATTTCAGGAGGCATAGCTTTGGACTGCAGGGGAGGGACTGTGTTTTCAAAGCTATTATGCTAACGGATAGCATTTTGGCAGATCACCTACTGCACCTTGAGCTATTTACTTTAAATTTAATCTATTAAAATTAATTCATATCAAAAATACAATCCAGTAAATAAAACTAAGTTTTTGAAAACTAAACCAAATCAGGTGGAAACAAATTAAATAATTATATATATTTCTTATAGATTTTTACTGTAAGAGGCTGCTGCTGATCATTTCAAGGTGGTGAATATGGTATCTACAATTATATATACAAAATATGTCTATAAATACACACAGCCTGGTCAATTGCAGCTCTGTTTTGGTTAACCCATTGAAATGTGATCACAGAAAGAAGAATAAGGAAGAGACAGAGTGAGTGCTAGCATGTGATTCAAGAGTCTGTTAAAGAAGGCCATTAAGTGCTCTGGTTTAGTGCCTCATTTAAAAGAAGTGTACTGAACCACAGCGCACACTTAGAAATGGCCTCAAATCTCTCTAAGCTCATTGCGTTTCATGGGTGGTTTCTCATAGATACTTTGATGTGCTTTTGACTAGAATTTCTGCTTAAGTCTGTATCTCTTGTTATGTTTAAATAATATTATGTTATGGTAATTTTGCACCATTGTTATATTTGTATATTAGACTTTTCAGCCATGTTGTTGATGCCCAGGCCACATAAAATATTTCTTTCAGGCTCGCAAGACATTAAGAGCTTCTTTTTCACTTTGCATTCTTTAGTTTCCTGTGAGTGATGTCACAGGGTTGCTATGGATACCCTTTGGACCTACAGAGCAGGTGAAAACAGTTCCTGTTGTTAACCATGTGTCAGGTCCCTGGGGACATTCTGAGCCACTGTCTCACGCGCACAAACAGTTGCAATTTTTTCTTTTCATAGCTTGTCACTTAAGTTTTTTTTCTCCTTTTTGAAATGAGCCCAACATAGGTGGTTCCACCTTAGTCATTTGTTATTACTAAGACACAATGTTCAGCTGCGTGCCTGCCTTGAATATATTTACTGCTAGTCTATGTTGACTCTGCCATTAGGAACTTCAGATTCACCTTTAATATAAGCAAGCAGTTTCTCTCTCTATGAAAGAAAGCAGAACAAGATTTTACACTGGTGAGAGGTCATTTGTATAACGAAACAATGAAGTTATGTGTGGCATTATAATTGGTGTTGTTTAAATGATCGTTTTTTTCACACTTGACATTCTGTTTTGAATGGGACACCACAATGATCATTGTTTCATACGTCACGTCCTATGTAGGTGTGTTGGGTGTGGCCTTGCTGATTCAGTGCCTTGAGACTGGGCGTTCTCAAAGTTTGCTATGTTTGTGTTGGGCAGGGTTGACAATCTGCCCGAGCTGGAGACGAAAACATCTAAGTGGTGTTACCCAGAAGGCAGAGTCCTGCAACACCACCCCAAGCTAAACACTTACACCCTTACCCTGGAGGATGTGCCCAGGAGCTCCCCACCAAGCCTTCAGTGTGATGTGGAGGAGCTCCAGCGTCTCATTCAGTCACATCAGAAGGTGAGTCATTGATTTCAGAGTCTTCTGTGGCTGTAGGTGTGTCTCATTTTCTTGGTCTGTCACTTTAAGATTACAGCTTTATTTCCAGCTGGGTACGGTCAACAGAGTTTGTTTGCATTTGTGCTAGAACTCTGCAGGAGGTTGCTATCTGTGACTAAAGGAAGTGACTAAATGCAGCTCACAGACTAGACTTTCTCTTTTGCTCTCTTTGCACACACCCGTGCTCGTTTTATTCTGGGTAAATGTTTAATGTCTGTTTTAATGAGGGCTGTATAAGATGTGCTGCTTTTTTAATAGCTGTTTTTGAACTTTGTTTATTCAGGAAGATCCTCCAACACCGCATAAGTCAGCACTGCTGATTCTCAATAGAGACTCCAGTAATAGCACAGAGACAGATGACTGCCTTCCGCCCAACTCAGTGGAACCTGAGCATCAGGAGCACAACAAACAAGAAGAAACTTGCAAATCGCTTTTAAACAGCCTTACCTTTGAGGATGGATTGTGTGTTCATCAAAACGGCACAGGAGATCATGTCCAGTTGCTGGATGGGGACGTGGAGCCTGACCTGCCAGCTGTAGGAGATACAGGGAATGCATTAGATAAGACTGACTGTTTGCAGCGGCGGGTAGATGGTGATTCTGTGGCTTTCAGTGCCCCTTCCTGTGGAAACCAGCGGGAGGAAGCCGATATAGAGCTCTGCATAATCAGTGCCAAGCAGGGGGTTGCTTCACAGCCTGATAAAGGGAAGCAAGAAGAGCAAGAGGCTTGCCAGAAGAGGTCAGAGACTGAAAAGGACTATAACACTGAATCTGGCAACCTTGGGCTTCAAGACATGGGCCACGCACAATCTCAGGGTCTCCTCCCCACGGAAACTGGTCAGCCTACACAAAGGGAGGTGGAGAGTGAGGGGAGTACAGATGTCTGTTGGCGTGGGGACTTACCAGAGGAAAGGGAAGGGGACATGAGTAGCAACCAGGAAATAGACTCATATTCTTCAGCACTTTCTTCCCATAATCTAGAGGGAAACAGCCAGCACGATGGTGAGACTGAGCCCCAGTTGCCTACACAATGCTCAGAGGGAACAGATGAAGCTAAATTGACTTTAATTCAGGTAAATTCTGAAGTTACTTTGTCTATACGAAGCGAGGATACCGTTATTTCTGACAGTGTTGACAAGCCACATGGTCTCTTAGAGACGGAGACAGGAAATCTCAGCGAACACACCAAAGGCAACACTGAGTCAGCTGCTGATTTGGTTGCGGATGACGCTAGTGTAAAGCAGAACTCTGGATTTAGCGTTTTAGAGGGGGATCTTTTGGAATCATTAAGTCTACGGCCAAACATGGCACCGGGACCAGTGCATAAGGTTCAGCAAGGTCTGTCACCAGTTCCTGAGACTTCCTCTCATGTAGGTCCAGCTTTGGACCCCTTTTCTGAGACTACAGAAAGTTTTCAACAGCCGAATCAATCCACACAGCTTTTAGAAACTGCATTAGAATGTGAGGATGTTTCATTAAATAACTCAACCGGTGACATTAATGCAATAGCAGGGGTTTCTGTTGACATTTCTGCAGAGGTTTCACTTTGCCAGAATGAAGGGTGTCCTCCTGATGGAAGCAAAGAAGAGGTAGCCCCCAGTGAGAGGATACCAGACCTTAAAGAGCTTACGGAAGAGCCGGAATCAGTTGAGGACATTATTGTCTCAGATGTCTCAGATTTGGATGACAAATCTCAACCTTTTGAAGAGTCTTCTTTGCCTATCGACTCTGAATGTTTTATAAGAGGTGATTTCCAAAACGATGAGTCTACAGTACAGTCTTCTGAATGTACTGGAGGTGACATAAATGTAGGAACACTCTTAGGAGAAGAAGAGGCAACTGAAAAAATAGAACAGCCAGACTCTTCACTTAAACTGGTTGAGCTAATTCCTGAGGAATATACTGGAGATGCCACAAACGAAAATAAAAAAATTGAGCCAGAGGAACAATCTATTTTACTGCCAACTTTGCAAGGGGAATCAGGATTTAAGGATGTTGCCACAGAGGAACCTGTACAGGAAAGGGAAATTGACTCCACTTCAGAGGAAACAATCAGCGATCTCCCTGATCCATCGGAAATCACAAACAATGATTGTGCTGAATCCAATGCACACTGCCAGCTCTCAGAATCCTCCAAGGAGAGCGCAAACACATCCTCAGAACCTGCTGAATGTGTGAATGACCTAGACTTGTCTTGTGCTTTACCTCAAACAGAAATCGAAGGCAGCAGACCTTCTGAGGGCCCCTTAATTGATGGAGTAACAATATGTGCTGAAATTCCCATTGATGACAAAGGTGTTGACATGGCTACCAATATGAGTAAGACGACCATCTCTGAGGATTGTCTGTCCTCTCCTATGGACACCACCAGCTGTTCAGTTCTGGAGAGCTCCTCCATGTCTGACCCACTCAATGCCTCATCCTCAACAGCTGAGCTCACTTCCCCTTTGGATATTAATAGTGGATTGCATCAGGATTTGGAACACACTTCCCCAGTGGATATAGACAATGGTTTGCCTGAGGAACCGCCGCCGTCAGACACACCTGATTGCCTGAATGGATTACATCAAGATTCTCCTGATAGTTTGATGGAGCACAGTGGAACTCCTCAGCCATGTTCTGAGGAACAGTGTGTGGATCAAATCACAGGTAATGCAATTTATTTTTATCCATCTGGAGATGATAATATACTTAGTTTTTTTAGTCTGTCTAACACTATTACATAATACCATGCTTTTGTAAGAATGAAGTTTGTTTGTCATGTCATTCCAGTCCAATTGTTCACAGCTGAAGCTAATTTGTCATTAGCTTCATTCTATTCCGACATACTTTTGTGCGCGCTTGAGAATTCAATGGTGTTTGCCTTGCACACTGATTTCACATTGAGTTATTATTTTTACTATAGTCAATATTTATTCAGATTTTGTCTGTCATTCTATTTTTAGTTACGTTGAGCCTCTGTGTTGTCAGTTAAAAGAAAGCCATTTTGGTTTTGATTGATCAGTGGTTTAGGTTTCCATCCATGAGGGAAATACCTTCCTTGTCATTCAGGTCATAGTGTTCATAGTGTAGGGAGTGTTGCAAATGACAGTGTGTATTTGCAGCACACGGTATCCTGGCAACTTATTGATGTCACCTCTGCTTCACATCATAGAATCAAACAGTTTAAAGATTGCCTGTCTTTTTTTTCATGAGGTTGACGCCCAGCTCATGTAGATGAGAATCGGTATTGTTCTACTAATAGCTGCTTACTTCACTTATTTATATCACGTTCACAAAGCTGTGCATCTCATTTGGAAAGGAGGAATAAGTCACTTCCTTTTTGTCAAAAGGTTTAGCGTTAATAATGCATATGATCTGTCAGCTTAACAATTTTATCACAACTTGTTCATTTCTAAATAAACGATTAACCCTTACCACTGAAATGTTCGCTCCTGAAACATGAATCAGCAGCTGAGTTAATGAATTACAAATTGATTTTTAGAAGTTTCAGTTAAAGGTCACATCATGTGAATCTTCAGACAGAAATGATTTTAAATTGCATCTTGTATTACCCGTTAGACCTGTAATTTGATGTTTAAATGTTGCTGTTATAAGATATATACAGTGGGTAAAAATAAGTACTGAATTACAATTCACCGTTGTTCTCAGAAAACATATATTCACCAGATGTCAGAAACAACTTAAGCAATCCATATATACAAAGAAAACAAATAAATTGGTTTAGAAATGAAGACATGTGCAATAAAAAAATGACACAGGGAAAATGCATTGAACACATGAAGACAGGGAGGTGTAAAAAGGCATGGAAAGCCCAGACAGCAGCGGAAATCCCTCAATAGTTCGATAGTCAGACTAAAAAATGGATATTAGCTGCTTCAGTCCCAACAACCTAGATTTTCATGATGATAAAATTGAAACCAGGGTGGACATTTCAGCAAGACAATGATCTCAAACACAAGCAAAAAACTATTAATTGGTTTCAGAAAAGAAAAGAAAGCTGCTAGAATGGCATTGCCAATTACAGGACCAAGAGTCCAAGAGATTACAGAGTCCAAAAAAAAAAAAAGAACTAAAGATCAGGGACAAAACTCACAGAAAATGTCAAGATTTTTTAGACACTTTTGATGTCTGCGAGAGAGAAAAATATCACACCTGAGCAATGCATGTTACGCTCTGCTTCATACAAAAGGTGTTAAGAAGCTGTCATCACTAAAATCATATTTTATACAAAGTTTAAAACACATCAGTTCAGTACTTTCTCCCTGTGTCATTCCATTGTTATTACATGTAACAATTTTTTTTTCTGACATGTTTGTATTTTTACCAAAATCTGGGTCAATTTCATGCCAACAACTCCTTTGCAAATAAGTTTACCAAGAAAAATCATGTCTTGTTCAATACTTTTTACCCGTTGTATACAGGAAAATCATTGCAGCAGTTGAAATTTCAACATAATGAACATAAATCTAGCGTAAAATCACAAGATATAACCTCTTCAGTAGTGAGGCTTGTTAATAAATTGGGACATGACATCAAACAATAAGAATATATAAGAATAAATGAAGTATGCGGTTTAAGTCTCATTAAAGAGGTGATATAAACAAAGAATCATTGAAATAAAGCGTTTTTATTTTACAAACCTAACCTGACCCCATTGTGCATGAATGAAGATTTGATTGAATGATTTCTTTGTTTTCTCTTAAAAAAAATTACAATCGTTTGAATTCCTATTTAACATTGTATACAATAAATCTAGTTAATTTAAAGTAAAAAAGTCAACTATTATGTATGAATTTTTATATTGTTATGCAATTTAAAATTGATTAGTGAGGTGTATTTTGATCTTAAATTGAGGATTTATGCACTGAAGATGATTATATCATGGATAATTCTTGTTATAGTTATATTGTGGTGTAACCAATTAGTGAATGTGGTATTTGTGGTACTTAAATTGTATGAAAATGGTCTAGTAAATGGAAATGATTAAAGGAGTAAATGATTATAGTAACTGAATATTGGCTAAAGAATGATGACGTCAATAAAAACCAGTGACTTAAAAAGTGAGTGGAGGGAATAAGACACAGAAAAAGGCTTTGAGCGTAAACATTTGCGTCATTCCCCAATAACAAATGTGAAATAAAATGAAGACGACCGTTTTCATGAGCGGGATCACAATTTCTTTTATATTAAGTAAAAAATAAACAACCCACACCACTGAAATGTTGACTCCTCCAACATGAATCAGCCGTTGAGTTAATGAATTACAAATTGATTTGTGGAGGTTTCAGTTAAAGGTCACAACATGTGAATTTCCCGGAAACTGTTGAACTTATTCAAATGAAACATTTTGTTTTTTTGTACATGCTCAAACAAACCTAACCATCCAGACCAAGTTTGACCATTTGCAGATTTTTACACCTTTTAAATCTGCTCTTCTTGATTCCTTCTCACAGATGACAGCACTTCAGCAGAGGATGCAGCGGACGGACACCAAGACTCCTCAGTAGACATAGCAAATTCCGAAGCGGTGAGTGTTCCTTGGCTATTATCCTCAACCTGCCATCCAGTAAATAAATCATTAACATGTAGACCTCTTGGTATGATTCACTCAGCATTCGCTTGCAGCCACCCTGAATTCTTAGTAGCTAGGAAGGTGGTAGTTTCCCGAAAGGCTCCACTGAGCAGAAAATAAAAAAGAAAAAGAAATGAAGGGATGTTAACCTGACCTTCTGTCGTAAATCTGATTTATCTGCCTGGTGCTTCAGCGTTCTGACGCAGGTCAGAGTTGGAACTGCTGAACTGTGTCTTGTAAGGTCAAACTGGCAGATATGGGAACGCTGCCACCCTGTAGCTCATGCTGTTGGTCGGTTGTGTGTGTGTGTGTTGTCCTTTGCTCATGGAAGAAAGATGACATCACCCTGAACACCTTTTTTTTCCCAGTTGTGTGTCAGAGGGATGATTTCAGTGGTGAGAAAACTCAAAGGGAGGGAAAGATGTGGTAACTTAGGCGTTTATGCGGACCAGCAAGAGTGATAAAGTGAGATGTCTATCTTCAAGCGTTGGAAGCTGCTGATTAGATGATTCCTTTGTATGGTTCGGTTGTTTATTTTGTCATCTTCCTGTGGGAATCCATGTTGTTTTGGTTGCTGTGGGGGTTCCTGATATAATCAAAACTCATTGTTAAAGGAATAGTTCAGTCAAAAATGAAAATTGCTGTATAAAATTATCTGTGTATATGACTTTTTCTGTCAGATAAACAAAGTCAGAAGAGTTTTAAATTGCGTCTTTATACTGCCATGCTCTATAATGGTGTTGGATAGTGACTTTTATTTTGAAGCTTTTAAAAGTGCATAAATCAAAAAAAAAAAAAAAGCGAATTGTGTTTTTGTAACACCAAATATTTCTCCTTTTTAAATTATATACTACATTCATTGACTACATTTACATGGACATTAGTAATCAAATAAATTGTCTTCATCTGAATAAGACAATATGATGATAAGGTGTTTACATGAGTTGCTTTGAGTGTTTCTTTTATTATCCCGTTTGTGTTATTGCACATAGATCGTCATTAACGTCATTACATCACCGCGCTATCCACATTTCCTGTAGAGTTTCATGTAATTTTGGGTATGTCATTTTTATTTTGTCTACTTTAACTGCAGATTGGCACTTTCACTTTCATTTAGGAACAATTCATGCATCCCCGCGTGACAAACGAGATATTGGATGCGACTCTGAACTGCTGGAACCATAAACAACTGTGTTGTTTTAATGGAATTTGATACCGCATGACATATGGGGAAAAAGCCTCAATATTTCGTGATTCATGCGTCTGTGGTCCTTAGCCGACTTGGTAGGTGCAGAGAATAGTGTCAAACTGCCATGTGTATATAGACTATCCGATTGCAAAATGCTGTAAAAATCCCAACGCAGTCTCACCGCAATTCGTAACTTTTTGATTTAGTGGCTAAGAGCCTACTCACACTATGCTATCCGAACCGTGCCCAGGCCCGTTTCCCGGATCGTTTGTGGAGTATGAGTCCTCGGAATTGGGCTCAGATACAGTTTACTTGGTTGGCCCTGGCCCGGTTGGAAGAGGTGTGCCTGAGCACGGTTCACTTGGGCTTTGGCGGGGTACTCTTGTGTGAGAGTACAAACATGCCAAAGCCCGAAAACTGAAAGCGAGACGTGACTTTTAAGGGACTGTCCCTTCAGCAAACCTCCTAATTCCTGCAGTACGAGGACTTTGACTGTTTATGAGCGTCAAAAGTGGCTGATCTGTTTGATATTTGACTGTGTGCCACCGCATCCCAAATGACTAAAACAATATAATTAGAGAAATTTCCACTGTACTGAGCGAGAGCACTTCTCTACTGAACAGTGCATCATCGTTGACGTAAGCGTGCACAGGCCCGAATGTAATGTGAGTGCGGGCCATCCTTAATCAGATTAAATTAATCAAAAATTGCTGTTTAAATGGTAGACGCTTAATCAGAGTAATTTTAATTATTGGTGTCCTTGTAAACTTACTAACTGACTCCTGACAACATGTTATGCATGCCTGATGTTCTCGACTCGTAACAGACGCTCCGGAAATAAATTCGTCTCACAGGAACCATTCACCACATTTTATCAAGAAAAAGACAACAAACAAGTAAACTACTTGGCATGGTGTTACTGTATAACGTTATGCAGTATACTGTGCTCTTACAATGTGCATATCTTGCGTCATACGTCATATATGCATCAGTCATGCATAATGTGCTTTAATCTGCAGGTTTATGTGGAACAATTTTGGAACTTTAGTTACTAAAAACGTAATTATAAAATAAAAAATTAAAAGTTAAAAAAATGTTTACAATGCAAAGCTAGTTTAATCCACTTATTTGGTAAACAAAGCAAGTTTGTCATATGATATATCTACTAAAGGACAGAAAATAGGTGTGAACTGTATTGTAAAAAATCATATGAATATTTTCATATTAGTCAATATTATTACTGAAATAAATAAAAAAAATGAACTAAATATATTAAACACATTTACACAAGTAAATGAATAGACTCAATATTGGCTAAAAGTCTGTTGAAATATGTGACTAATAACTTTGCCTACTCATGGCCCATGAGGTCATTTTAATTTTGGTGAACTTTCTTTAAGGGAGTGAAAGAAAATCAAACATTATCCCCTTTCACTTTCAACTTTCAACTTTCTGGAAAGGTCTGTATGTGTGAACGGGCCCTTTTTGAAAATACCGGTAAATTCGTTCCAGCAATTTTTCAGAAAGAGAAGTTGAAACATTACCGGTAATTTGCTGGAACGTTGAGCTATGTGAACGCAGAAGGAAGATTGCCGGAAAGAGCGCATTCATGATTAGAACACACTGATGTAAGACGTGTACTCCAGAAAATAACAACATTCAGACACATTCACCTCTGCGCTGTTTATGAAAATAAAAGCCTTTAAATATTTTTCCAGTTACATTTAGCTGCTAGATGTTAATCAGATGATGTCTCTGTTCCTCCTTAATGCCAACGGTGTCAAAAATTATCAATAAAATGCTTATGATAATCCACTGTTTGTTTACCTTCAAGCTCTGCTTCTTGCAGTTGCTTAACATGTGCTCGTGAAGGAGCGGGTCAGCGCCAGCACACACACATATTATGAACATTTTACCGTGCAAAAGTGTTCCTCTTTATGTTTTCAAGTTGTTCACTGTACTTATTCATCCACATAATTTGTAATGTAGTCAAGTGTGTAAACATAAGCTGCGGTTCGCATTTTTTGGATGTCTCTGAGACAAAAGTAGCTGCATGAATGCTAAAGCTTTAAATAAAAGTGAAACCATCAAGAAAAGGCAGACCTCTTCTATGTTTACAAATACAAGCACTGCCATTTATAGGTTGTTTCTGGTTAATGATGTCAGAATTTATCTCTATTTTGGAGTGGATGTGTGAATGGTCTTTTCCGGACAAATTCCGGAACATGCTTGCCTGTGTAAACAGATTTTTTATAAATTTACGGATAAAGTCGTTTTGGAAATTTTCTGGATATTTACTGGCATCATTGTGTGAAAAGGGCTATTAAATGTTTCTTAAAAAGTTTTAATAATTATGCTACTATGCTACTATGAGAAACCTTTACTAGTCAGAGGAATAAAACTGGAATCTCTTTGAACATTTAGCTTAATTCTTTCCTGCTAACGCATGACAAACATTCTCAGCCAACCAGAATCCATCCAACTTTATAGAGCATTTAAATTGGTGGACAACATAATTACAATTTTAACAACTGTCCAGGGATAACAGAAAAATAACCTTTTGGCTAATTCTGGTGCGTTTGCAGAAATGCTAATTAATTTACACTGTCCCTGCCAAATAAATAAACAGTTAAATAAAATAAAACAACATGCATTTATAATAAACAGCATAATAAACTTTGATGGTATGGATGCTAATCTAGTTGGCTTTATTGTTATCTTTCTTGGTGTGAACAGGCCTTGTAAAAGAAATGCAAACTGATACTTGTCTTCGCTAGCATGTTGCGGCTAATATTCTCTTTGTTTTCATAGTAGTACACTCTAACATGGGCGATGAAATATTTTCTTTCTCTCTTAAGTGATAGTAATGAAAGACATAACAAATTTTAATTCAGTCTGGGGAAAACTTTCTTTTTGAAGAATTAGCAGGGAATGTTAAGTCTTACCGTTAGCCTGTTCAAGCAGCATGCTTTTAGTTCTGGCATTGTCTGAACTAAAATAATAACAAAAAAGATCTTAGTTATCAGTTATCTGTTCATTTTTAAGCGTGTCATCACCTCTCTTGTCAAACTAGCTTACTGTGTCTAGTTAGCTTCTAAAAACAGGCTACTTTTTCGCTTATCTGCTGTCTGGCATGCAGACTTGGACTGCATCATGAGGCTGTGTAGCTACATTGTCAGCATTTGAAAGAAATTACACTGGAACATTCTATCTTTAAGAGACTCTCCAGATAAGTGCAGGGGCCACATTTATAGAGCATCTTAACTTTGACTAGCATGCTAACTTTGCTCTTGCTGGAAAAGTCCATTAGCACGATTAAACTCAATATTTTGAGTCATTTTGTAGCTTTTTTGAGTCCTGGTTTAACTTTTCTTGTCATCAATCATCATAATAATTTATTGAGGCTGATTGGAAGTTAAATCTGAAACTGATTTGTTATGCTAACACATTTCATGACTGATGTGTGTTTCCCCACATCAGAAAGGCTCAATTATTTAATTTGGAGTTCGTTGATGAATTAATACATCATAACACTTCCAGCCAGACCACAACATAATATTAAAGCTATTCTTGAAGAGGATTTTTACATTTGAATTAAATTCACGTGCTTCGTCTTCTTATTTTAACTGCTTTTTAGATAATGTCATCCTAAAATGCTATTCTGATGATGGATAATAGGATGTTTGCTTGTTGTTAAGCTTCTCATTTGGCGTCTAGAGAGCTGTGGCTCCCTCTAGTGTTTATAAGTGATATAACTCCTTCCAGA